TTTTTCGGAACCCGTCGGGCTCGGGTCGGGTAGCAGACAGTCTATGACTATTCAAGATTAATGAAAAGAGAAAAAATGGTTAGCAAAAATGGATAATAAAAAGTTAAATGTTCTTCAACACCCCTCCCCTCACACACACACAAAAAAACACACAATCATAACTATATACATCAGAACATCAGGATCAGAAAGTCTTTTTGTGTTTGCGGCGCTGCTCCATGGCTTTTTTGACTAATTCTGAGGCCTTTTTTTGACGGCTCATCCCCATTAAAGTGGTTGAGCTTGCTGAAAAAATTGCTTTCTTCAACTTCAGAGGGGAGACGATTTTGTGGGTCACGTTGCTGCAGACTTAACTGGTGTCAACATCACCATTAGCTTGCCCCTTCTTGTTGGGTACCTTTTATGGGATGTGGATGTCTCAGAGGTTAACTGGGCTCCATCTCCTGCTCGTCCCTCTGCTCCTCCTTCTGCCGCTCCTTCCTGCCCTCCTTCCACCTCGCCTTGGCCAGTCTCCTCTGGGTTCTCTTCTTCACACTGTCAAAGGAGAAAAAAAAACATAGCGAGAAATTGATCATGATCACGCAAAACTGTCTAACACGGTAGGCTCAATCTGGTTAGAGGATGTCATTTTACCTCGATGGACCCGGGACTGGACGCCACAGACTCCTGATAATAGACCTCCGTCTTCTCTGGACTGGTGCTGCCTGATGTGAGTTCTGGGGATTTTGGTGTAGGCTTTTAGGACGCTTTGGACTTTTCTGCAGGCCGCTTTCGTTTTTTAGGTGTTGGCTGCCTTGGTGGGCTCCTCTCGGGACCCTCCAAGGCGGACTCAAAGAGCCTGCGGTGTTCCATGGCCTGCTGGGCAGACAAGTTTGTGACGTAAAACTTGTCTGCTGTCCTGACATCGTGGCACATGAATTTAGAGATTTTCATGAGGTCTTCACTGGAGTGTGTGAACTTGGCCTGGAAAGACAGAGAAAGAGAGTAAAACAATCGCCATTCTGAAGGCTACCAAAGATTCAATACAGTACACAGTGAACATAGCATAACAAGTTAATGCATATTACAACTCATCAGTATTCATAATTAGCTTAAAAAAGGTCTGTCCACGGAAATCCTGTGAAGGCCCCATCAAATAAGTTACAGGTGGTCAATTGACACGTGTAACTTATTTCACGGGGCCTCCACAGGCTTTCCGTGGACAATGCATTAATAGGTCATAATTTATGATTATAATGATTTTATTATGTAAAACATACAGTACTACACACAGGAAACACAGTGTGACAAGTTAATATACATTACAACTCATCAATAGTCAAAATTAGTGTAAAAATGGTCTGTCCACAGAAAGCCTGTATAGGTCCCGTCAAATAAGTTACAGGTGTCACTTGCTGATGTTATTTGGAGTTGGAATTTGGTGAATTTCAATGACCACCCGTAACTTATTTGACGGGGCCTCCACAGGCTTTTCATGCACAATGCATTAATAGGTCATAATTTATGATTATAATGATTTTATTATTAGTTACTTACGTGGCTGGCGATGGAGGTCCGAACGTCAGTGAAGGTGGGGCAGCCAGGCAGGCCCATGGACTTCCACGCGTCCTGGAAATAATTATTTAAATTTTTGCAGGGCTTCGGCGTGGAGGTGAAAAACAAATATTTTGCATCGGCCCCGCCTAGCAGCTTGTATTTCAACTGGAAGAATCTCTGTACCCAGCCGTACTCCTCCTCCGTCAGGGCAATTTGGGCTGGACCGAATGCCTGATTTGTCTTGTGGCTGGTCACCTGTGGACACACCAGAAAACACACAAGACACTCAAAAGAGGTGACAAACAAATCAAGCAGAGGTATGAAAAGCAAGTCAGATGCTCACATTAATGAGATATGCCTTCTGAGATGTTGATTTCTGGGCCGTCAGCACCTCCTGGAAGGTTATGTTCTGAAATACACCCCCTCTGTGGCCGTAGATGGAAGAAAGCAGTGCCGCAAAGTGCCCGTAAAACTGCCACAGTATCTTCTGTGTTGGGTCATTCTCCAGGAGGGCTACGGACAGGAGAGAGGGAAACGTCAAGGTTCCGTTCAACAGTCAACAGCAGATAAGTACACTGAGTCAAAGCGAAGGTAAGACTACTTACTCAATAACTCTGGGATGGCCTGTGCCGCCTGGGTTTGGCACTTTAAAAGGGTGGCCTTGGCGATGACCTGAACCTCCTTTTCGGCTCTCATCGAAGTCCGGTGCATGGCCACGCCTCTCTTCAACGACTTGCGCACACTCAGCATTTCGCGCCGAAGACCGATCAAGGCGTTTTTTGACAGGCGGCATGACGGCGGAGGGGTTTCAGCAATGTATTTAATGAAGCAGCCGACATTCACCGCATAGTGCTGTATGGTCGTCGCCATCATGTTTGCCTTTCGGAGGGAGCTGACCCAACTGCAAGAAGACAAAAAGTCCCTGGTTAAAGGAAAAATAAACTTTAATGACACCGAGCCAAAAACAGGGAACACTACTCACGCATGTATATTGGCGGTGTCGTTTAGAAAACAGAAGTCCGACAGCTTGCCCTTGCCCTCGGCCATAAAGGCAATAAACTTCTTTATCCTGTAAATATGACCTCCGACGTTTTCCCTCAGTTTGGGGGTGGGATCCGGGCCTAGCTGGTGCCGCCTGTATTCCTCCAGGATCTCGTCTGCACACAAAAGACAAAAGAGGAAGAGCAAAGGCACAGTTAGCACAGCATTTTGCAAAAGAAAAAAATAATTAACGGCAAGAGAAGTGTCAGACTCACTCAGAACCGACACGTGATCAGGATAGTACGGGGTAGTGCGTGGCTCCAGAGATGTGGAGGGCATCTCGTCACTGATGGAGGGCTGCTCGTCGCAGGTGGAGGGCTCCTCGCCTCCGACTGTGGGCTGCTGACTAGTCGAGGGCTCACCGGGCGTGGAGGGCTGGACAGCAGCCTCTAAGACCTCTTCCTTGGGGGCGTCCTCCTTTTCTTCTGGCCCGAGAGAGGAGAGGAGCTTTCGTGCCACCTGACCTATGCGGACAGCGCCCAAAGGAACCGACCTCCTGTTAAGGATCTGGTAGCGCCTGGTGACGATCTTCAAACTCTCAGTAAGAATGTCTACCTGCTTGTTGAGGTCCACCACCTGGGATCTGAGGAATTATTTTTGCTGCTTACAGCCTGTGTTGCTGCACTGCTCTTCCTCTAGCTCCTCTTTGCCAGGTGGCACGTCGGGCTCCTCTGGCTCCTGGTACTCCTCCAGGTCCAGGGTGGAAACCATTGGGATGGCTGGGTTGGAGGCCCTCAGGGCGATCAGCTTTTGGATGACCACTCTCCTTTTGCATTTGAGGTTAGCGTCATCTTGCCCCACTGCTGAGATTTCGCTGTCACTTGACCACCCGTAACTTATTTGACGGGGCCTCCACAGGCTTTCCGTGGACTATGCATTAAGCAGTCATAATTTAAGTTTATAATCATTTTATTATGCAATAACACCGTCTGACAAGTTCATTTGGGAATTGGAGTTGGATTTTGGTGACTTTCACCCCTGTTGGTGTCTGCCCACCCATAACTTATTTGACGGGGCCTCCACAGGCTTTCCGTGGACTATGCATTAAGCAGTCATAATTTAAGTTTATAATCATTTTATTATGCAATAACACCGTCTGACAAGTTCATATACATTACAACTCATCAATATTCATACTTATTTGACGGGGCCTCCACAGGCTTTCCGTGGACAATGAGTTGATAGGTCATATGTCATAAATATTATGATTTATTGAGTAATACCAGCTTTACAGTGCTCAGGAAACGCCGTCCAGAAGTTTAATGTACATCGGAGCTCGTGAAATGGCTTAATTTGCATAAAAATGCACTGTCCACTGAAAGCCTGTGGAGGTCACCTCAAATAAGTTACAGCTGTCACTTTCTGATATTGGGAATTGGAGTTGGATTTTGGTGACTTTCACCCCTGTTGGTGCCTGCCCACCCATAACTTATTTGACGGGGCCTCTACAGGCTTTCCGTGGACAATGAGTTGATAGGTCATATGTCATAAATATTATGATTTATTGAGTAATACCAGCTTTACAGTGCTCAGGAAACGCCGTCCAGAAGTTTAATGTACATCGGAGCTCGTGAAATCTTCAAACAGCATTCCTTCGTCCTCGATCCAGAATTGGAAGAAAGGATCAAGGAGGAAGAAACGCAACTTATTGATCTGACTCCTGTTGATACAGCTTTAGAAGCTGTCGCTCGCCTTCCGCCCGCTGGCGCGCCAATAATCAGAAGTTTAATGTACATCGGAGCTCGTGAAATGGCTTAATTTGCATAAAAATGCACTGTCCACTGAAAGCCTCTGGAGGCCCCCTCAAATAAGTTACAGCTGTCACTTTCTGATATTGGGAATTGGAGTTGGATTTTGGTGACTTTCACCCCTGTTGGTGCCTGCCCACCCGTAACTTATTGGACGGGACCTCCACAGGCTTTCCGTGGACAATGCGGAACGCCGTCCAAGAGTCTTTCAACAAATGCACGTCTGGCGTCCCGCGCATGTTCCGACGTAATAAAACTGACCAAGAAACTGAACCTGAGAACTCAACCAACCTAATTGAGATTACGTCTATACCGCCTCGTCGAACCCCTGACAATTAAACATTTTATTGAGTAATACCTACAGTACAGTGCTCAGGAAACACCGTCCGGCAGTTTCGTATGCATCGGAGCTCGTAAAATGGCTTGATTTGCATAAAAAGGCACTGTCCACGGAAAGCATGTGGAGGCCCCGTCAAATAAGTTGCACGTGGGCACTTCCTGCATGACTCGGCAAAATTGCTACAAGTGCCCATGTTCAACTTATTTGACGGTTGCCTTCACAATGGGATAAGTTGCACGTGTCAGCGGCCCCCGTACGGCCCTAGGGTGCCCGAAGGGCCTCACATTTCACAGGAAGTTGCGTCACTTGGCCCTCGAAGACATACCGAGAGGGCTAGGTCGGGAGATGCCAAGAAATATATTTCTTTCCTCTTCATACAACTCTCTGTCTCTCATAGGCCTCTGTTGGGGAAGGGCCTGTGGAGCAGTTTCTTTCTCAGTGCCTGATTGGCTCAGGAAGCATCTAGGGCCACGAAACTCCGGAACCCGATTCGGGGGCCCCTGACGGTGCCCTGTGATGAATATCGGGGCCCTGTGACCTTCGTGACCCTGCGTTTCCGACGTCCCACTTGCAACCTATTCAATGGAAACTTCACAGGTGGTTCGCGGTCAAAATCTATACAGCGTGACACCACATGACCCATTGAACATCTGCTTCCTGCCCTTCTGAAACCCAACTGACCCACGTTCTTTTGTTACAACAAAAGAAAAAGAACCTTGCAAGACGATTTTAAAAGACAATCATTTAAAATAATTAAAGAAGAATAAAAGGGCAACTATATTCACAAATAATATGTTTTGTGCCTTTCTATGCTTGATGTGTTTCATGTAATCGGTGCAACTTTAAAAATTTTGGATCTCACATCGGGGCCCCCCCGGCTACCCTCGTGTCGAATCTCGAGGTCCTGTGACCTTTTGAAGCTGAGTTAGACATATGTCCCACTTTGACAAAAAACAGGTGTTTAGAGGGGGCACGATAGGCACTTCGTGGGCATGAGGAAGACAGTGATGAAGTTTAGGTGGTTAGGGGTCAAAATAGGCGCTCCGCGGGCATTTAGGTGTTTAACGGTCAAAATAGGCGCTCCGCGGTCATTTAGGTGGTTAGTGGTCAAAATAGGCGCCCCGTGGTCATTTAGGTGGTTAGCGGTCAAAATAGGCACTCCGTGGTCATTTAGGTGGTTAGTGGTCAAAATAGGTGCTCCGCAGGCATGAGGAAGACTATGATGAAGTTTAGGTGGTTAGGGGTCAAAATAGGCGCTCCGTGGCACTGAGGAAGACTATGGTGAAGTTTAGGTGGTTAGGGGTCAAAATAGGCGCTCCGTGGCACTGAGGAAGACTATGGTGAATTTTAGGTGGTTAGGGGCCAAAATAGGCGTTCCGTGTCACTGAGGAAGACTGCGATGAAGAAAAGGAGGTAAGGGGGCTCCATAGGGTGTTCGTGGCCTCGCAGCGCGAGTATAGGCTCCGTCCGTACGGAGCCTATGGCCGATTTTGTGGCCTAACCCGCGTTTTCGTAAAACGTCCACGTCACCATTAGAATAAGTGGCTCGTGTCGTCCACAAAGTGAGCGCGAGCCCTCGCACCAACTATTCGTCCAATGGCAATTTTTTTTAATTGAAAAAATCCCACGAACCACCTGAATTCCCTTACGCTGGTGAAGGCTCCGTCCTCAAATGTTCGTGGCCTCGCAGCTCGAGGGTGCCCCCGGAGGCGTCCGTACGGAGCCTATGGCCGATTTCATGGCCTTACCCGCGTTTTTGTAAAACGTCCACGTCACCATTAGAATAAGTGGCTCGTGTCGTCCACAAAGTGAGCGTGAGCCCTCGCACCAACTATTCGTCCAATGGCAATTTTTTTTAATTGAAAAAATGCCACGAACCACCTGAATTCCCTTACGCTGGTGAAGACTCCGTCCTCAAAGAGAGCCTTCCGGGAGCGAAGCAAACGCAGTGGCAACTGTCAGATCCGAGTCCTTTCAAAACCTGAATGAATTAATAATAATTAATTCCCTACAATTAAGTAATCAAAGTCATTACATCTGTCACCAAAACGCAAGTAAACGAACAAGGTTTTCATCTCTTGCTGAACTGGTGCTGAATTGAGTTTAAGCAGTAAACATAAGCCAAGTCTCTGCTTTTATGAGTTTTCTCAGGTTGAAT